AAGTAAAACCACAAGCTTTGGTCTGAATTCGTTACAACTTCAACTCCTCTTTCACCATTTTTCTGCTGCGTCTCAGAGGTGACGCTCGAACGATCCGAACCTTTTGAACGGCTCTTTACGACGAACGATAGGAGCTGAATTGCGGGCGGTAACGAGTCATTTGTAGTTTTTTCTTTTATTCCTCGTATAATCTATTTTTTCAAACTTAAATTGATCCCACTTTGCTTTTTCACTGAAAACAAGCGGAGTTGGGGAGTACAGAAGCTCACGGGTGGGACCTTTTTCCAAACTACAGTATAAACTAGTTTATATACCTTATGACAAATTATTTTATGTCGATGTGAAATCAGGAGTTACGGGACATGAGGGGATTTTTTTTCTTTTGCGTTCTCGTGCTGTAGTATTTAGCTTTCCTTCACAAGAGTCTTGTCACTGTTGTGTCTGCTAGTTTATTAAATTCACATGCTCACCATTTAGCGTACTTTAAATCAGACATGCATGGAAGTATGTAACATGCAGCTATTTTAACTGGCCACACAGCATCAATGTCAATTTCTCAAACTTCTGGAGATATATCCTGTTTTGGTAACCGGATATTTCAAAATAAATGTCTGATTTAATTCGGTTCGTAAAAAACAAACTTTTACGTGTGATTGTAAAACATTGCGAGGGAATGCAAAAGTATTTCATAGTAGTTCTTTATTCTTTTAATTTGTAACAAATTAAGAAAGTACAAAAACATGCAATCAAAATAAAATGAAAGGCAGCAGAAGAAGAATAAATCTTATAATAGTTGCATAGGAATGCAAAAGGTAAATAAAATCCCACGTAACTGTCACTGAATGTAGTTTTTCTCCTGAACAGCAGGGGGCAGCAGCAGCTCTGCTGCAGCCTGAGGGCAGACACAGGAAGTGACGTCACTGTTAGCAGAAAAACGTGAGCTGTGTTTTTATTAATTTCTACATTTCTGATGAGAGTGGCTCAGATTACAGCTGCTGCTCAGTTTGGATTGAGATAATCTGAGCTCTGTTGGCTTGTTGGTTCACTTTAGGAGAATGAATGGATGAAACAAGTCACATCTGTCAGTTAGCTTTTTGTGCACACATGCTGCATTGCATTGTGGGAACACTAGTGTGTGTGTTTTAAACTAAAGTGTGTGTGTGTGAATGTGTGTGTGTGTGAGTGTGTGAACTGCTTGATTTGAAGAGAGAAGCTGAAGAGTTTCAGCTCCAGTGTGTAGTTGTGAGATTGTGGTGACATGAGTCAGACTGTGTGTGAGTGGAGGAGCTCCCTCAGGTGGAGCTGATGAACTCATACTTACCTGGCAGAGGAGACACCATGATCATGAAGGTGTTTCACCCATGGTGAGGCTCAGCCACTGCACTCCAGCTGTGCTGACCTATGTGAATTCCCCACATGTGGGAATCTCGACTGCATAATTTCTGGTGGTGGGGCACTGCGTTCGCACTCTCCCCTGATCATGTGTTCTAAATAAATCTATGAAAATACTGAAACTTTAATCCAAATATGGGATCCGCCTCCAATTTTATATTGCTTAACATGAAATTTTATTCTAATGTCTATTAAAGGTAAATTTCTAATGAATGATTCAATGCATCAATCAGTGGTTCTCAAACTGGGGTCCGCGAGAGGGATCTTGTGGGTCCTCAAATTTTTTACTGTATTAAGTTATCTGAGGTTTCTGAAGTAGCCTTGAAGCTGAGGCCTTCACATTGTCCTGGTGACAGTGTTGCACCTAGGCTGCTGAAGGAGGTTTTTAATTCTGTAGGTCCATGGATTTACATTTTGTTAACACCTCTCTCTCTTCAGGTTGTGTTCCAGCAGCATTTAAACATGCTGTGGTCCAACCACTTCTTAAGAGCAGCTTGGATC